TTTGTTTAAGACTGGTGTAATGTTATTAACTACCTAAAAAATAAATGATATATATATATATATATATAATGTTTGTAGGTTCCACGTATGTCTTGATAATATAAAATGAGTACGAATGCACAAAGTAGAGTCGTATACGTTGACATAATAGACATAAGATAATTTTTTATTTCGTACATGTGATAAAATATTGTGAGATAGCTGATTGCAGAATGGAACAGTCGCATGCATTTATATTGTTAGTACCATATGCCTTACATTTAACATACCAATTTTAGGGATACTCATTTGTTTTGGCTAACATTGTTACCCCAACTTTGCAGTTGGTCTTTTTTTGACAAGGCAAACCTTGTTTGTGTTATTGATTTGTCTTTTATTCTATCTTTTGTTGTTTATTTAAAATGGGCGACTATTCAGTACAAGGATTTTCCCAGGGACTCTGCATTATTACATACACTGTTAAAGTGTTATAAATGAATAAACATACTAATATAGAGTTTGCATTGTTTAGTTTGTTTAGATGATGTAGAAAATGAAGTTCTGTGGTTCCCAAACCAATCGAAATGAACTTAGGACTATGGTTTTGGATGGCACGCAGGTTATCTACAGAGTTATACAAATTCCCATTAAATTTGATATCAGTACAGTATTAAATTGCCATTAGAAATATCTATGTATTTGTTTAGCAAGACAATTCTAAAAATAAATTAATTGCTGCGCGAAGCAGCCAATTCATATTCTTGATAGCAATTTGACCTTTGAAAGGTCATTGTTTGTCAAAAAACAAGGGCCTAAGACAACTGAAAAGCGGAGTTTCCTTCTTTCATTCTGCCGGGTAAAATCGATTACTTTAGGCGACGTTTGTAGACTACACGTATCAACGTCTGTATGTCGCGCTAGCCTTATCCTACTCTAGGCCTAGACTAGCTAGGATGGTATAGCCTAGCCTTGAAGGGACGAAGGTCCCAATGAAAAACAACGTCACTCCTTGATAGCTAACATTGTCTGTTTAACATCACAATAATTCATTATTAAACCTATAGTTGTTTTTTGAATTGTACTCCACAAATCTCAGCCGATACCTCGCACAACTCGTTAACGTCTCATATCTATTGTCGTGATGTCATGGCTCGCTGGCTCACACTTGTGATGTCTCGCACTTGTGATCAAATAACACGCTGGCTCGCACTTTGGCAACACTCTTTGGCAGTCAACTCGATCCTAGAAAACCCGCCCTTGCAAACTTGCCCCATAAAAAAATGTACACTTCCTAGACCATGCAGTCTTCAAAATAAAAATTGTAACCTTTGGTACAACTACATTTTCCACATACATAGAAATTTTTGAAAATTTATTAAGAAAAACCTAAACCATAATTCACCACTAAAGACACTTTTTGACAAAAATGAAAAATTACGACTTTGTTACCCAATGAGAAGTGTTCTAATATAGACAATGGGTCGTGTCTCATATTATTTGTTATATTTTTATTATTCATTATTTTCACTTGACTCGCATAAATAATTTTGTTTGAAGAACATTTATATGCAGTTGTACTTCGCAGCACTTCACTTGCAATTTCTAGTTTAATCTACTTCTGTTTGAATACAGAAGTGACAAAATGTACAAGACTTCAGCCCGAAACCTATCCCAAAATGATTATTAATTTGAAAACTGAGTTAATAAGTTGTTACAGATAGACCCATTCTCTCAATACAGTATCAAAAATTGAAATATCAAAACAAAATATTCATCTTTTTTTTTAAATGATTCTATAATAGAAAGACTTCATTCATTGTTTTACAGCAATGAAAATTGAAGGCTAAATTGTGTATTACTATCGTATTTTGTTATATTTGTAGCATTTTCTTGCATAATGAGCATGTAATGGAGCATGTTCACTTCAAGGCCAAGATGATTATAGGCCGACAAGTTATTATTGATTACTATATTATTACTAACAAGCTAGGATGATTCTCTCATGTTATTATTACAGTAGTAAAGCTGCATTTACACCAAATCCAAATTTTCAGATCAGAAAATCAAATCAGTGTGTAAGAATAGGGACGGTGGTGTTCAGTGCATCGGAAATGTGTGAATTTTGGTTCCGATGTGAATGCAGATTTTGGCTGCTTTTAACACAGTGAGGGCAGCTTGACTTAGTTAATGGCTAAGGTAGCCATTGTATGAACCAGGGGCTGGATTTATCAAACTAGAAATCAGCTTAAATTTGTCTTAAGTCCATTTTTTTGCTTAAGTCAAATTTATCATTATTAATTAGCTTTAAAAGTTGCTTAAAATTAAAGCTGATTGTACGCATGCACCTTCTAAGACGATTTTTAAGCTAAGATTTTGCTAAGATAGTTTGATAAATCAGCTAAGACATTTGCGTAGGGACATCTTAACTTTTTCGACTTAAGACATTTGCTAAGCTGAGATTGGTAAATCATAGGCCTGGCCAGCAGGAAAGAACAAAACTACAATATATGGTTGAAAATGGAAAAGAAAGTGGTAGAAGAAAACCTACACAAATAAAGGAAAGAGAAATAATAACACAATACAGGAGAGTGGGGGAAAATAAAAGCTCGCATATAAGAATGATTTAAGATGGCCAGCACTTAAGGATCATCAAATAAGGAGACTTTTGAAGAGATGGTAGTGAATTCAGCCTGAGCTCTAACAACTGAGAAAGACCTCTCTCCATAAGTCTTCAAATGACAAGTACTAGGCACATTAATGGTTGTAGATGTACAGTTTAGTGGACCTTAATGTCATTTTACATTTTGCTGTACAGAGTGTGATGAGTTTCAAGATGTACGGTAATGAGTTGTGGAATGATGCAAGGACTTGAATATAAAAATAATCAAATGCACTAAACAAGATTGCTTAATGGGTTACCACTAATCAAAATCACTTACTAGTCAAGGAGGTTGGCTTACCAAGGAAATACGGTTGTGCTTTTTATACTATGCTATTTCATTTAATGCACCGTGGGCAAATTTACTGGAAAGTAAATTATTGCGATTTAGAAAATACATAGGTTTTAAGAAATATGGAACAATGAATCGACTGTAGTCTACAATACCTGACTGAATGCATCCCATAATTTTCATTCTAGAATAACCAATGTATATTTCTGTATCTTTTTAGCAAAAATATACAAGTGCAACTAGGTTTGGTGCGAGCAACTGCAGTTAGTTTACAACAAACAATAATTAAGAACCTAAAAAAATCAATATTTTTATAAACAAGTGAAAAGAAATAATCAATTTTGAATATGATAATAGGCCTATATTTTATCATTGTGTTTATGCTATTAGGTTTTTTATACCCTTCATAAATTCTCGAGCAACGTCTGATCAATTCTTTTCGTTAAGCCTGATTCAGTCATATACACATGCTGACACGCAAATTCAACGTGAACTCGCACAGCACCAATCAACTTCACAATGCCGCCTCATCCATTAAGTTGTTTTTACGCATTCTAGATCATCGTCGATAATTGAAATTGAAGCTGATTAAATCCCTGTGTAATGAATGTTAATCTTGGTGACAGTTGGACTGTATGTATATACTAACTTCACGTGCGAATATGGCTTGGCTAACACTCAGCCATACGCTTGGAATTTGTTCAGGTGAACCTTAAGATATATGAATAATATGTGACGGTGGAATTGTGTGAAATAAATCAGAACTGAATTAAACGGGTGTCAGACTAAAACATCTTGCGTTTGCTGGCAGGAATTTGTTTATTATTCAGTGGAGTGGATTTGAGAAGCTTGCAGTGGAAATAAGTTGCTTGGTAGTTTAAATGCTTCAATTCCTGTCTTGGTAACAGGAGTTTTTCTTACAACCAAAAACAACTGTCCACTCCAAGCCATAAAATCTTGTGTGTATTGTTTGATGAAGGGAATGTCACCTAAGAAAGTGATTAAGTTCATTGTTTTGCATGTCCTTGGTCTGGGCCAAAAACAAATAAAATAAATAAATAAACAGTGGTGTATATTTATGATGAGTGCTTCATAATGATGATGATTGTGGTTAATATAAACCTATTTTTCCACCATAGTTAAAGATTTATGTATAAGCTCCTTGAGGGATCTGTGATATCCATTAGGCACTATATAAATACAGATTTATTATTATTACTATTATTATTATTATTATTATTATTATTATTATTATTATTATTAAATATATATATATATATATTGCCAAAAAGTCATGGAATACTGATCAATCCATCAATCAATCAATCACTCGCTTAACCAATTGCTGACAATATTTTTTGGCATGGGAATGCTGTAGTTTAGTTGGCTCTACCTTTAAAGAATTCCACCACTCTGGTATTACTGTTTAAACTGAAGGGGTGGATCCATGGGACTATGAGGGATAGTACTCCCTCCAAAAAAAGGGGGAAGCAGGAAGAGAGAAAAGAAAATGGTATTGCAAGCTTTGCATGATACTTCTAACAACGTAATTTGTACTCGTATTTACTTCATTTTACAATCGACTACATCATCCCCCCTCCCTCACCACAGACGATCCGGACATTAAGATGGACATGGTTTGAAAATCAAAAATTGGTATGTGTTTTGCGTATAAGAATACCCCCTGTTTTTGTATCATAATTTGCAATTTTAGGTGTTGTCTTATACGTGAGAATATTATACAGTACTTGCCAGCTCCAACATATTACTCCTCCAGGTAGCTAGAGCTGATGTGTTCTGTAGGTGTTTGATCCAATTGACCATGACAACAAACATTATGATGACCACAACATTCATAATTATTACTCAACCATTAAAGTGTCTTGCTTAGTTTTTTCTTTGTAAGAAATGTGTAGATGAATGATAAAACAATAAACTTGAACCAATAAGATTATTTAAAGATTTTTTATGGAAATTTATTCAAGTGTATGGTAATTTATAAAAATTTATGTAATAAATCACTTGGACATTTATTATAAAGTAAATACGGACTACCTTTCTATTTTTCAGTGTGCTTCCTCGGATTGGCTCATGGAAGTTTCTTCCAGAAAGACGGCCATTTCTATTGCCCAGAGGACTACTTGGACAAATATGGCACCAAATGTAAAGCATGTCAGGAGTTTGTGGAAGGAGATTGTGTGTCAGCCCTCGGCAACACATACCACAAGGAATGCTTTGTTTGCGGAAGATGTGGGTAAGAATTAAATGATTGTAGACATTAATTATTCCTTTTTGTTGGTGTTTCTGAAGTTAGTGAACATCTTGGTTTTGCAACTTTTCAGTGCAGACAGTTTGAACGATAATTATTATAAAGCTTTGTCTACACTATCAAATTTCCTCAAAAAATCGTCACATAAAATGTGATGGAAAATAATAAAATTTTTTTAATACAATTTGATAATATGTGATATGACGTCATCGTACCCATATACGGGCACATCACATTTTTTTGTTGCATAACATTTGATAGTATAGACAAAGCTTAAAGCTCTGTCCCTCTATCAAATTTTCTTTGACAAAAAAGTGTATATATATATATATATATATATATATATATATACCGTAGTCATGATGTGCTGAAATTTGGTGATGATGTGATGTTATCATGATCATTTTTAGGCACTTCACATGATTTTGTCAAATAAAATTTTATGAGTCTGGACATATTTGGCTTTAAGGAAAAGTACTGTGATTTGATTTATCTGCATTTGAAAATATGTAAGAATACTAAACTAAACCCTAACATTTATTATATTGTGGATTGATTGGGTTAATATTTAACATTTGAAGCTGTAGGTGATACTAAAGTTACTGTTTGATGGAAAACAGTATTAGTCAAAACAACTCCATTTTACTGGGTTTCTAGGCCGCTGTAAACAGGAGGTTTCTGTTATGTGGCCAAAACCATTTTGAGCAAACCTATTCTAATAAACCAAATCTCCCGTCTCTTGTATAAAAATAAAGGTTTCCCTCCAATTAAAGACCACTTTTGGAACTGGGGTTTCCATGGTCTTTAGGATCTTTGGTCCTTAATTTGTATAATAAAGATACCATTTGTTAATGTGGTACCATGAAAAGGTTACTTTATTTAGAGGGGTATTTAATTAGAGGGAGACCTGAAGCTTCAAAAATGGTAAATTCACCATTTAATTGCTACTATCTAGTGATTTTCAGGGAGTTTTATCCCTATACCTCACCAGTGATCATTAGGTTCTCCCCAGCCGTCCCCTCCCTCCCCAAACTTCTCTGATACTGTAGATCCCCTCCACTTTCCTTACTGGCTTGATATATTATGTGTGTAAGCATAGTTGCTCTGTAGTGTGAGTTAGTGAAGGCACACCAGCTTGCATTCTAATTAAATTCATAGCCAAAAGAGATAATGATGTGTATAATCTATTTTTGTTAGCATAGTATGATGCCATAATGCTGGTGTGTAGCTAAAGGACTGTTTTCATTCATAATTATAACCAAATTGGTATTCATTTGAGCTAATAGTCGCCTATAATTAGGCAATGTTAGACACAAAAAAAAAATCATTTTGGTTTTTTTTTTAGCCAGAACTGTACTACTGTATTATTGCAATAATCTGTAAGTAAAGTAAAACCAAGTTATCACCGATAATGAACCAAGCACAATTTGATGTAAACTTAACTGCGAGCTTTCGTCTATGTTATCAACATGACTTCATCATGCTATGTGAGTTAGCATCCGTTGTTTACATCAAAGTGTGCTTGGTTTATTATCGATTAAACAGTTCTACAATCATTAAAAGCAAACCAGATGAAAATTAGCACATTAGAAACTAGTTGATATATTGATTTGAACACATGCATTTTGTCTAAGTACGTATTCATCGACGAAGTGTACTCTGTTTTCAAATGTTATGACATAGAATAATATAACAGTACAGTACCTGTATAAAATTAATAAAAGGTTGACATGATCTGTAGAATTGTTTTAAAAGAGTGGCTAGATTTTTTTTTTTTTACCACTTTTGAGTGTTTATAAGAATGTGGTTGCATTGTCACTTGATTTTAAGAGCGTCTGGATTTTATAAATACCTACATGTCTCCCTCCAATTCATTTATTTATTGAACATATTTATACAGAATAACATATCAGGAGGATGTAACTGCTTGTTTTACATATGGTTCTGATTTGCAATACAAGCTCAGAAGAGTACCGTATATAAAATATCAAAAAGTTGCATTAATAAAATTGATAATGACTGAATTAAAAATATGATAAAAAGGTTAATCTAAAACAAATTACAGAAAACATTGTATTTTGTTATAATACATAGGCAAATTTAAAATCAGTAGGTAAGTTAATAACACATCAGGAGGATGTAACTGCCTGTTTTACATATGGTCCTGATTTGCGATACAAGCTCAGAAGAGTACCGTTATTAATTAAAGACTAATTTTGACTTTTGAGGGGTCTTTAATTAGAATGACACCTGTATCAAGATCATTATCAATCAATACTTCTCTCCCACAATGGAGCTATGCCATGCTTTCACCCACATACTGTACCTGAAAGCATGTAGAAATTGATCATTTATCTCTAGTTTCGTGAACAAGCTAATATTTCATCCTTATTACTAAAAGCCCCAGTGTCTGTATTTGTCACCATGAAGATATAAATTTATTTTCCCAAAGAGAAAACATTTGTGTGCATTACTCTAACTAAACCATCAGATCTACTGTATTATCAGCATACATTTTAGTTTTTAAATATAAAAAGAAAGGAGAAAAAGAATATTTGTACAATTGCCTCAATAACGTAGTATAATACATACTCCAAGTATCGAAATACACACCATCGTGTTGTGATGGGGGTTCATATTACCCACAGGAATATATCCTATTAACTGAAATAAAATCGAGGTAGGCTTTGATCAAAAATTTAATTTTGAATGTCGTTATATTTGTATTATATTAATAATATTATTACCTATTCATATTTTGGTGTTTTAATTCCTATGATACAACTTGCCATCATTTTGTGAGAAATGGCTTTCTCTCATTCTGTACATTTTTTTGCTGCGAAGAAGCCAATTCATATTCTTGACAGCAATTTGACCTTTGAAAGGTCATTGTTCGTCAAAAAACAAGGGCCTAAGATGACTGAAAAGCGGAGTTTCCTTCTTTCGTTCTGCCGGGTAAAATCAATTACTTTAGGCGACGTTTGTAGACTAACCTACACGTACCAACGTCCGCATGTCGCGCTAGCCTTATCCTACTCTAGGTAGACTAGCTAGGCCTAGCCTTGAAGGGACGAAGGTCCCAATGAAAAACAACATCACTCCTTGATAGCTGACATTGTCTATTTAACACTATCACAATAATTCATTATTAGACCTATAGTTGTTTTTTGAATTGTACTCCACAAATCTCAGCCGATACCTCGCATACATAGAAATTTTGAAACTTTATTAAAAAAAACTTAAACCATAATTCACCACTATAGACACTTTTTGACAAAAATAAACAATTACGACTTTGAGAAGTGTTCTAATATAGACAATGGGTTGTGTCTCATATTATTTGTTACATTTTTATAATTCATTATTTTCACTTGACTCGCATAAATAATTTTGTTCGAAGAACATTTATATGCAGTTGTACTTCGCAGCACTTGACTTGCAATTTGCAATTTCTAGTTTAAAAAACACATTTTATAAGAACACTAAGGCTGAAATTGCTTAAAAATTAATAATAAACTGAGGCTGTGATAAAAAGTAAAATTGAGGATTTTATTAATAAAAAAAATATAGAAACCTAAAAATTATATCTGTACCTTATATTATGTGTAGATGTAGGTGTGACTTACGGAGTACCCACAGTAATACAGTACAGTGGTACCGGGGCTATTTTTACCTACATTGCAGTGCAGTAGTATACTTCTATACAATAATTATTTTCTATGTTTGAATAGTGTATACAATAAGAACAAAATAAGAACATTTTGAGCCCGAAATCGGCAAAAAAATAAGGACACTGGGCCTGGGCAAAATTTTGCTGTTCTTATAAAAAATAAAAGTGAATCCACACAAGAAAAAAATGTGTTATAAACTCTGTAGGCCTATTGTTTTTTGTCAGATGTTTTTTTGGATTAAGTCTGTCTGACCCAAAGTGTTTGCATGCCACATAGGCCAGTCACAACATGCTGCTTCAAGATGTTTATGTCAGGTTGCCATAGTAATGTCTTAGAAGTAGAATTCCTGAAATGCATATTTTCTTGTTGATTTAGAAGTTAATTTTGACATAAAATGTACTGTGTAATGATTGATAACTGCCCTCATTAGTGTAAAGCACATCAGAGGCCAAACAAAATTACATGTATATAAAAAAAATAATACCAGCAACCACTTTTGTGTTTTACCTAATGAAACCAAAAAATTGTTGACAAAAATTAAACATTCTCATCCACAATCCTTGTAGTAATCACTGTAATTTCCAGATTTTTGGATGAATAAATTAATGTCTATGTCTAGTATTGCAGTAGTGTGAGCCAAGTGGTTTGTGCCAGAGGAGCTGTCGGAAGAGATATTTTGTCTCTTCAGACAAGCATAGACCGACTGTATTAATCAAAACATGCTTAAATCATGTAGGAAATATCCTCCATCCTTAAAAATGGTACACAGTGGCGTATACATTATTATATTGGGTTTTTGGCAAGGGTTCATAATTGCCATTAATTACCAACACTAACAGGGCACGTCGCATAAGTGGAGCAGTCGGTTGGCACTGTGTTCTAAGGAACCGAAGGTCGTGAGTTAAAATCGTGACTCGGTGTTTAATTTTTTTTTTTTTTATAAATTATTTTTATTTGAGAGCTGTTTCATAAAAAAATCTTGAAGAGCTAATAAGATAGAAATTTTTTAAAAATTAAAATGTTCATTTGTACAAAATTAAAAATTGAATGTCAAGACATGATTTGAACTCGAACTTTAGGTTCTGTAGAACACATCCTTAACCGACTGCGAAATCCAGGTGTAGGGGACACCCTGGGTCAAACTTTAAAAAAAGGGCCATGAACGTTTGTTGGAAATAGCCTCTAGTTTATGTGTACAAAATTTTCCGCACGTATGTTCAAAACTGGTGACGCTAGACGCTTTTAAAATTTGGTAACGACAACAACAACAACAATAGTCAGATATTTTGCAAATTTCAGTGGGTTCAAGTCCTCTTAAATATTACAAAC